ATGAACTGCGCCAGGAGGTGCAACATGAGGCCCACGAGCTTATCACTGCTTTTCAGCAGCTCTGGCTCCATGGTGTAAGTGCTTTGGCATCCACAAGAGTAACCAGAGTATACCATGTGAGTTTGGTGTTCCGCAATGGGGTAGGCAGTGGAGAAGTGGCATGTGAGACATGGCTGTAGAGAGGAGCCCCTTTAACTATGTCTCTCAGCTAGCCACAGCAAGTAGTTACAGGAAGTGTTCACTCTCCAGGTGTCTTCCCTGGAGTTCTGCTGGGAGCTTTAAATGTGATACAGGAGCCAATCAGTGTGGATGTGCTATTTTAAAATAATTCTGTGTTATTTCGATGCTGCTTTGTCATGTGGATGTGCCATTTTGAAATAGTTATTTTGGGAGTTATTATATCAAATTTAGTTATTTTGAAATAATTTCCTCATGTAGACATGCCCTTGGAAAAGATCATGCATGTAATCTTTTCAGATTGGTTTATTTTTCGAAAAGCAATAAGGGGCAGGTAAGAGTGCAAGTTAAAAATCAAGCCTCCAGTGGGAAGCTAACTCTAACTTTAATTATGGAATGGCTACTACAGCTGTTTTGAGAATGTTTTAAAGCAATATTAACACTAGAGCATAGGTAATTATGCAAAATGTATAAGGTTAATTTTGCAATGGGTTATTTTGGTCAGCCATTATAGTGTTTTCATATTCAATGAAAAATGGCTTTTTAAATACGTATATCTATACATCATATGGTTACATAACTCGGTAATTGTGCAAAAAAGCCATGTTCAATTTGTGATAAAACCTTAAGATGTCCTACCATTCTATTAATTGTTCAGAATAATATGTACTTATTGTATTGAGTACTGACACATCATATACCTTTGACAACCATTTTACATACTAAAATAACTGGCAACTCCATTAGCTACTAATTAGAAGTTCTGAATTTCTTTCCTGTCATTTTCCTAGTATAATACTTAATATGCTATATGAATAGATCTCTGCATATCCACAGATATCCGCTTTATATTTGTGAGTATCTGCATCTGCAGATGTGGATATCTGTGACTCATATTTGCGGGATACAGATGTGGATACAAATTTTGTATCTAGAATCCTGCAAATTTGTGGATCATTTTTGTAGATGAAGATGCATATGTAGATACCAATTTTGTATCCTTATAGGACTTGATGTATGAGAAACATATGAAAAAGATGAATACATTTAAGTGAAAGTAAATCTCTGCTGTTTAACCTGTGTAGACAAACTTCCAGTGCCAAACTTTAACATCAGTAATATGCCTAGAAAGATCACATTTGATGTCTGGAAGATATGGTATAGTTACACTATCAGTTGACTGATAAAGTGTAGCTAAATACAGCAATCTGACCTTATTTGTTTGGCCAATACAGAGCCAGTTTTGGCCCTGTTTTTCATGTTTGTAAGAGTAAATGTAAGGCATTTCAAAACAACACATATTTATATGTAAATTATGGGTGTTTTTTATTTCAAATTTCTTTGGAGCATCTTTACTCAGGACACTCAGGGGCTATGTCTGCACTGGCATCCCTTCCGGAAAAGGGATGCTAATGTAGCACATCGCAATTGCAAATTCCGCGGGGGATTTAAATTTCCCCCGCGGGATTTGCATTTACATGGCTGCCGCTTTTTTCCGGCTTGGGGAAAAGCCGGAGAAAAGCGCCAGTCTAGACGTTATTCTCCGGAAAATAAAGCCTTTTCCGGAGGATTTCTTATTCCTACTTTCAAAGACCAAATAAAAACCCAACTCACAGTTGTGCGAACTTGTCCTGCACACACTTACAAGAAATATGTATTACTGTGATCAAATATGTTATGCTAGAAACAGAAACACTCGTACAGCATGGATAAAGGACAAGTGTCTGGAAGACCTAGACTTTGTTGCTGATAGTGTGCTATTGAATGATACCCCTGAAAAAAACATAGCAAAAATAGCAGGCCAAGGAAGGCTTAAACTTAGTTATTCTAAAACAAATATCCTTGAAATCCAGGACAATCAGTAACATCACTTTAGAAGGCAAAAAATCAAGAACAGTTCATCTATATGGGCAGGATCATATTAACCAACAGTGACAGCAAGAAGGAAATAACATCAAGAAAAGGAAAGGCATCCATAGCATTTATTAAACTCAAACATACATGGAAAGCAAAGATATAATAAAACTGATAGATTTCAATTAAAATGTAATCTCAGTGTTAACATACAACTGCAAAAGCTGGCGATCCACTAAAATGTTAGATAGAAAACTGGATACCTTTGAAAAGAGGAAAGATTCTGGGCACTGGTTGGAAAGATTTCACTTTACAGGTCTGAAAAGTAATCAACCTGCAGCTCGTTTCCACCAGAATCAGAATGAAGTACTGGATATATTTGGGGCATTTACTTTAAAATCCAAGACATACTCTGAATTCTAAGACATACCACATGAGGTTGTCAAATGGAAGCCAACTGATGTGAGGAAATGTGAACCCACAAAAATCCTTAACAGGGAGGGCAAAACAGTTGCAGATAACAAATGAAAGCAGCAGCAACTGATAGAGAGGAATGCAGTTGTATGTTAACTACTGGTTTCTATCCTTTGTTCCAACATTGGCACAGGAAGGATGTAAAATAAAACAAAACCTATGATCTACAGAACACTAGTCTCTGTCTGACACCATCCTTTAAAGAATGCTCTTTATTGTTGTAGCTCAAGAACACAAATGTTGAAGAATGTTCTTCATTAATACCTTCCTATTTAATGAACTACTCATACATTTAGTTTCCCATCATGGCTTCTTTAACAAGAAGCTTTCTTCTTTCTAATCAACTTCCCCCCAATACCTTTAATAATGTGTGTGCTTTTAAAATTCATTGCTTTGGGAGTGACTGGGATACCAAACATTGGAAAGGCAGGCAGGAGTACTAGAAAGAAAACATTTCCCAGTGGAGAAGTGTCATTTTCACAAAAACTACATACCCATCCATCTCAATAGCTAGTAGAACTGGATGTCCAGAGAAGGAGGGTATGCTGCATGTTTCAAAGGGCAGTGAAGCGCCCACTGTAAAGTGCACTCTCTCCATCATACATTCCCCCAGGGAATTGCTGGCTGAGTAAGAACATTACAACAAGCAACAGAGTTTCTACAGCATTTTTGGCTATTAGATTTTGGCAGGGGTGGAGGGAGGTTGAGACTTTATTTTGTTTTGTTTTAAATCTCAAGGACCGTTATCTAAAATGAGAACTAGCACTTGGTTGCCTAGAACAAGCTGATATTCCTAATAGGGAAGTTATATAGTATCAAAAATAAGCAGTTACACAACTATTCGATAGTCTCCGGGGGAGGGCTAGCTTCCAGTGTGCTCCGGCCCCACTCCCCACTCCCACCAGCTCCTGCCTGCTCCCTTCTCCCTCCACTGCCTCTGTAGGATGCAGCAAGGAGGAGGGAAGGCAGGTCCGTGGAGCTGGAATGCGTGGAGAGCCAGCTTAAAAGCTGGCTCCTTGCACGTATCAGTTTCCACCTGCTCTCCTCACCCTCTATCAGAGGCAACAGCACTGGGGGGGAGGCAGATTCAGAGCTCATGAGGAGCTGGCTTAAAAGCTGACTCTCAACAGGCACTGGCTCCTGCCTCCCCCTGCTTTGCTGCTTCTGATACAGAGACAGCAAGGGAAAGGGAGTACATGTAGTCAACAGGATTAACCAATAAGACCAGATTTATCAATTAATTGTATAGTCATCTACATGTTGACATCCCTAATTCCTAAATATTATAAACCTGTCTTATCACTTTCTTAAAAAGACCGTATGTAAATAATGACGTTCCAAAGGATTTGCAGTTATGATATAGTTACGTACACACATTAAAGATTGAGTGCCAGCATACTTATGAAGTTTATGTGCTACAATGTAATCGCATACAATGAATTTTTGAGGTTCTTATATATGTATTTTAATGTTTTAGCTAATGTATTCTTACCTGTTATAGGTATGGTGTTATAATTACCTGTAATTACAACATTTAAAAGCCACATCATTACCCAGTCACTGTGCTCCCACAAGATATTTTCTAAATTGCTATAAGTATTATTCCCATACACAAAACTTTATTAATTTTGAGTTAAGGTTCCCATTCTGCATAACCAACACAAATTATAAATGCAAAGAAATAAGAAATTCAGATATTCAGCACCCATTTATGCTCTAGTCATCAGTTCCTTTCCTCAACCTCTATCATCTCCTCCCTTACAGTCACAGCTCACATATCATCACCCTGATCTTAATCAACCAACATGCACCCTTTACCCAAGCAATGTGTCCTGGTTATATGATCACATCTGGATGATTAAAATAAGGTTGGCATGATTTTCAAAAACTGCACTGTTAACAATATGATATATAGGGGATCTTTTATTAGTACTTGGAAGTAAATGAGATAGTGTCATACTGCAAATGGTGGCAGGTACAGAAATTTCTCGGTAATGATGAGAAAATACGTGAATGAGTGATCTGTGTTTTTTGATAGTTCTAATCCTGATAGTATAAATCACAGAAATTGAAATCTGAACACATGCCTTCACTTGTGTAATATGCTTATGGCTTTTAAAAACTGGTATTTTTCACCAAAATATTCATGGCTTGTAGCAAGTGGCCAACAGAAATGAGCAGTTGCATCCGCTAATCTTGACAGAATTCAGTTGGTATATGATAATACAAGGGAAATAAGTCTTTATGTGTTTAATTTTAAAAATTCAAAGTGCCTGCATCTAAAAGCATGTATATGAGAAGTCAGAAATTTGTGAGGACTCTGGAGACACTAGGGGTATGTCTACACTACCCCGCTAGTTCGAACTAGCGGGGTAGTGTAGACATACCCTTAGTGCAAATGAAGCCCGGGATTTGAATTTCCCGGGCTTCATTTGCATAAGACGGGCGCCGCCATTTTTAAATCCCGGCCTTTGACATAGGGGGGGAGCCGCCATTTTTAAATCCCCGCTGGTTCGAACCCCATGCAGCGCGGCTACACGGGGCACGAACTAGGTAGTTCGAACTAGGCTTCCTAGTTCGAACTACCTCCGTGCCACGTGTAATGAGGAATAACGGTAGTTCGAACTAGGAAGCCTAGTTCGAACTACCTAGTTCGTGCCCCGTGTAGCCGCGCTGCATGGGGTTCGAACCAGCGGGTGTCCACACAAGTCAAAGGATAAAACCCTCACTACTTTCAGTAACATAGAATCAGCTTCTTAAAGCAAAGTCCCTTTGGGTGTGTCTACACTACCCTCCTAGTTCGAACTAGGAGGGTAGTGTAGACACACCCAAAGGGACTTTGCTTTAAGAAGCTGATTCTATGTTACTGAAAGTAGTGAGGGTTTTATCCTTTGACTTGTGTGGACACTGGACTAGGTCATAAATGCAAATCCCAATAATAGCTTTGCTACTGAAGCCTCCAAGATACTGCGGTAATCCCAACAAGCAGATAAATTTAAGAAAGTTCCATAAATGAAATGTGGGATAGTATAACTTTCACTCTCTTAGTATTATATCTCATTTATGTCTGACTTTACATCATTCCCAGTACAGTTATAGTTAAATCAGATTTGTGGCAACTTGAGCTTTATAAATGTCATCTCTTTAGCCTTTTCTGGATTGAGTTGTAGATACTTCATCTCAAGAAGTACTAAATATTCTCTGAAAAAGAACATTAGTTTCAGAAGGAACATTAGCTGAGGAGCAGCCAAGGGACTTGATGGCAACATGGATTAGTTCTGACCTTGACTAATACATAAAAAAGATCAATCTTAGGGCACAGTTTTCCTTGGGCCTAAAAATTTGACAGTTATAATAAAGCTATGGAATATCTACAGTACACCATTATCCAATGTATCAACATCCATCCATTCATCCATTTCTTGCCAGATCCTGAAAATCTTATTCTTAACTTCTAGGAGTAGTCTCAGTAAGTTCAATGGGACTGCTTACAGAAGTAATGGTTACAAGATTCAGCCTTTAAGTTACATTATTACAGCTTCTTTTTTCCTCGGTCATTTTATACCAACTTGTATCTTGTCTTATATATCAATATGCAAAAAAATAATAAAGGAAATGAATGTTCCCTACATAAAAGAGCACTGTGAGCTGAGTGTGATAGTATTCATTTTTCTTCTTTAATGTCAGGTCTCAAAGTCTTTCACTTTCAGTGCTCTGATTATCACATTGTCCTCTTGGATTCCCTTTCACATGAAACAATAAGGTATATTTTCATAATAATTGTATTTTGATTTTCTATATGTGAATAACAACACCTCTTAAAATATCATTCTCATTTTGCAGATGGGAAAATAAATGGGCAAGTAACTTGCCAAAGGTTACATAGTAAGTTAATGGCAGAGCCAGGAATAGCTCTCAGATTTTCAGATAGACAACCTTATGCTCTTACCTCTAGACATATTCTCTGTTCATCTTGATCAAATGGAATAGAGGAGCTGTTCCTAAAACAAGACTGGAGAGGTGCAAAGATCTGTCATATCCTAGGGTGTTGATAGTTCCTTCTTGCTTTCAGCTGTTACTATAAGTTTTCAGGGTCTTCGAATTCAAAAAGGATCAAACATTTATCAAAGACAGATAAAATACATAAATATGATCCTAATATTACTTTTCTATGTAAGCAATTGCAGTAGTCTTTTGTACAGAGATGTTATTTGATTATGAATGGGAGGGGAGATTGTTTGCCTATTTGTGAACGGAAGAGAAGGTGGTTCAAAATATAACCTTTTTATTAAAATCCACAACATGAAAAGTTTGAGAACTCTTAGAATGGAGGATGTGTAATTGAAATGGAAAGTTTTTTAAACTGCAATCATCACATAACAATTGTTAAAAATATTACGGAGGCATGGAAACATAGGAATTCCCATCCTTGATCAGACATAAGAATCCTGTCTCAGACAGTGGCCAATATTTCAGAGGAAATTGTAGAATTCCACAGTAAGCAGATGTGGGATAATTTTCTCTAACATGAGGTCTCATCTTGGACTCTGATAGTTAGAGATTGGCTTAAGCCATGACGTATGAGGTAGGGATATGAAAGGTTAACAGGTGGGGGCAGGTGGGGTTGGGCAGAGGGATGCTCCAGCCCCGCAGGAGGCCCACCACAGACAGGGACTGCTCCAGAGTTCAGAGCAGCATTTGTCCACAGCAGGCCTGGGTGTCTGGAGCAGCCTCTTTCTGAGGGGGCATTGGGTGCCTCACAGGCAGGGGCTGATCTGGTGGAAGAGCCTTTCTGGTACTTTACAGAGCACACAGGTGACATAGTGCCTACCCCAGCCAGCATGTGGTTCATCCGAGGGACAAGAGGTGACAACCCAGCCAGTCTGCTGCAG